GCCAGCACAAGCACGATGAGACTGCACTGCCAGGACAAGCACGATGAGACTGCACTGCCAGGACAAGCACGATGAGACTGCACTGCCAGGACAAGCACGATGAGACTGCACTGCCAGGACAAGCACGATAAGACTGCACTGCCAGCACAAGCACGGTGAGACTGCACTGCCAGGACAAGCACGATGAGACTGCACTACCAGGACAAGCACGGTGAGACTGCACTGCCAGGACAAGCACGGTGAGACTGCACTGCCAGCACAAGCACGGTGAGACTGCACTGCCAGCACAAGCACGATGAGACTGCACTGCCAGGACAAGCACGATGAGACTGCACTGCCAGGACAAGCACGGTGAGACTGCACTGCCAGGACAAGCACGGTGAGACTGCACTGCCAGCACAAGCACGGTGAGACTGCACTGCCAGGACAAGCACGGTGAGACTGCACTGCCAGCACAAGCACGATGAGACTGCACTGCCAGGACAAGCACGGTGAGACTGCACTGCCAGGGCAAGCACGATGAGACTGCACTGCCAGGACAAGCACGGTGAGACTGCACTGCCAGGACAAGCACGGTGAGACTGCACTGCCAGCACAAGCACGATGAGACTGCACTGCCAGGACAAGCACGATGAGACTGCACTGCCAGCACAAGCACGATGAGACTGCACTGCCAGGACAAGCACAGTGAGACTGCACTGCCAGGACAAGCACGATGAGACTGCACTGCCAGGACAAGCACGGTGAGACTGCATTGCCAGGACAAGCACGATGAAACTGCACTGCCAGGACAAGCACGATGAGACTGCACTGCCAGGACAAGCACGATGAGACTGCACTGCCAGCACAAGCAGGATGAGACTGCACTGCCAGGACAAGCACGATGAGACTGCACTGCCAGCACAAGCACGATGAGACTGCACTGCCATGACAAGCACGGTGAGACTGCACTGCCAGCACAAGCACGGTGAAACTGCACTGCCAGCCCAAGCACGATGAGACTGCACTGCCAGGACAAGCACGATGAGACTGCACTGCCAGGACAAGCACGGTGAGACTGCACTGCCAGCACAAGCACGGTGAGACTGCACTGCCAGGACAAGCACGATGAGACTGCACTGCCAGCACAAGCACGTTGAGACTGCACTGCCAGCACAAGCACGGTGAGACTGCACTGCCAGGACAAGCACGGTGAGACTGCACTGCCAGCACAAGCACGGTGAGACTGCACTGCCAGGACAAGCACGGTGAGACTGCACTGCCAGCACAAGCACGATGAGACTGCACTGCCAGGACAAGCACGATGAGACTGCACTGCCAGCACAAGCACGATGAGACTGCACTGCCAGCACAAGCACCGTGAGACTGCACTGCCAGCACAAGCACGGTGAGACTGCACTGCCAGCACAAGCACGGTGAGACTGCACTGCCAGGACAAGCACGGTGAGACTGCACTGCCAGCACAAGCACGGTGAGACTGCACTGCCAGCACAAGCACGGTGAGACTGCACTGCCAGCACAAGCACGGTGAGACTGCACTGCCAGGACAAGCACGGTGAGACTGCACTGCCAGGACAAGCACGATGAGACTGCACTGCCAGGACAAGCACGGTGAGACTGCACTGCCAGCACAAGCACGGTGAGACTGCACTGCCAGGACAAGCACGGTGAGACTGCACTGCCAGCACAAGCACGGTGAGACTGCACTGCCAGCACAAGCACGGTGAGACTGCACTGCCAGCACAAGCACGGTGAGACTGCACTGCCAGGACAAGCACGGTGAGACTGCACTGCCAGCATAAGCACGGTGAGACTGCACTGCCAGGACAAGCACGGTAAGACTGCACTGCCAGCACAAGCACGGTGAGACTGCACTGCCAGCACAAGCACGGTGAAACTGCACTGCCAGCACAAGCACGGTGAGACTGCACTGCCAGCACAAGCACGATGAGACTGCACTGCCAGGACAAGCACGGTGAGACTGCACTGCCAGCACAAGCACGGTGAGACTGCACTGCCAGCACAAGCACGGTGAGACTGCACTGCCAGCACAAGCACGGTGAGACTGCACTGCCAGCACAAGCACGGTGAGACTGCACTGCCAGGACAAGCACGGTGAGACTGCACAGCCAGCACAAGCACGATGAGACTGCACAGCCAGCACAAGCACGATGAGACTGCACAGCCAGCACAAGCACGATGAGACTGCACTGCCAGGACAAGCACGATGAGACTGCACTGCCAGGACAAGCACGGTGAGACTGCACTGCCAGCACAAGCACGGTGAGACTGCACTGCCAGGACAAGCACGGTGAGACTGCACTGCCAGGACAAGCACGGTGAGACTGCACTGCCAGGACAAGCACGGTGAGACTGCACTGCCAGGACAAGCACGGTGAGACTGCACTGCCAGGACAAGCACGGTGAGACTGCACTGCCAGCACAAGCACGGTGAGACTGCACTGCCAGGACAACCACAGTGAGACTGCACTGCCAGGACAAGCACGGTGAGACTGCACTGCCAGGACAAGCACGATGAGACTGCACTGCCAGGACAAGCACGGTGAGACTGCACTGCCAGGACAAGCACGATGAGACTGCACTGCCAGGACAAGCACGGTGAGACTGCACTGCCAGGACAAGCACGGTGAGACTGCACTGCCAGGACAGGCACGGTGAGACTGCACTGCCAGGACAACCACAGTGAAACTGCACTGCCAGCACAAGCATGGTGAGACTGCACTGCCAGGACAAGCACGGTGAGACTGCACTGCCAGCACAAGCATGGTGAGACTGCACTGCCAGGGCAAGCACAGTGAGACTGCACTGCCAGGACAAGCACGGTGAGACTGCACTGCCAGGACAAGCACGGTGAGACTGCACTGCCAGCACAAGCACGGTGAGACTGCACTGCCAGGACAAGCACGGTGAGACTGCACTGCCAGGACAAGCACGATGAGACTGCACTGCCAGGACAAGCACGGTGAGACTGCACTGCCAGGACAAGCACGGTGAGACTGCACTGCCAGCACAAGCACGGTGAGACTGCACTGCCAGGACAAGCACGGTGAGACTGCACTGCCAGGACAAGCACGGTGAGACTGCACTGCCAGGACAAGCACGGTGAGACTGCACTGCCAGCACAAGCACGGTGAGACTGCACTGCCAGGACAAGCATGGTGAGACTGCACTGCCAGCACAAGCACGGTGAGACTGCACTGCCAGCACAAGCACGATGAGACTGCACTGCCAGGACAAGCACGGTGAGACTGCACTGCCAGAACAGGCACGGTGAGACTGCACTGCCAGCACAAGCACGGTGAGACTGCACTGCCAGCACAAGCATGATGAGACTGCACTGCCAGGACAAGCATGGTGAGACTGCACTGCCAGCACAAGCACGGTGAGACTGCACTGCCAGGACAAGCATGGTGAGACTGCACTGCCAGCACAAGCACGGTGAGACTGCACTGCCAGCACAAGCACGATGAGACTGCACTGCCAGGACAAGCACGGTGAGACTGCACTGCCAGAACAGGCACGGTGAGACTGCACTGCCAGCACAAGCACGGTGAGACTGCACTGCCAGCACAAGCACGATGAGACTGCACTGCCAGGACAAGCATGGTGAGACTGCACTGCCAGCACAAGCACGATGAGACTGCACTGCCAGGACAAGCATGGTGAGACTGCACTGCCAGGACAGGCACGGTGAGACTGCACTGCCAGCACAAGCACGGTGAGACTGCACTGCCAGCACAAGCACGATGAGACTGCACTGCCAGGACAAGCATGGTGAGACTGCACTGCCAGCACAAGCACGGTGAGACTGCACTGCCAGGACAAGCATGGTGAGACTGCACTGCCAGGACAAGCATGGTGAGACTGCACTGCCAGCACAAGCACGGTGAGACTGCACTGCCAGCACAAGCACGATGAGACTGCACTGCCAGGACAAGCACGGTGAGACTGCACTGCCAGGACAAGCACGATGAGACTGCACTGCCAGAACAGGCACGGTGAGACTGCACTGCCAGCACAAGCATGGTGAGACTGCATTGCCAGGACAACTGTGGGCCCGCTTGCGGACAAACTGAAGAATAAAGACCTGGCCCCCGTGTCCTCTCACCTGTAACCTTGGGACATGCTCAATAGGTCGAATAACAATAAACATATCGCGTTCAAACAGCCGGACTAAATTTTTATTTTACCAGGTAAAGCCCACTGAGCACACCACGATCGCCGATTTATTTTTAAATATGTATACTAACAGAAGAGTTACCCACATAGCTTTAAACCTTCATTCTCCTGGCAACTCAAAAGCAGCTTAAAACCTTTAGTCAAATTCCATGGTTTTTTTCATGAGAAAATGTACATCAGCGTCGAGCTACACATCGATGCAGTCTCCGTGACGGCGGTGAGTGGCAACGCAGTTGGGTGACTGGGACTGCTCCTCGAGTCACTAGTTTAAACTATTCACTATTTTGGATTTTACCACGTAAGGCCCAATGAGCGATTTAGCTCTTTTTTATAAGTGACCAGGCTATCACAAATGATAACGAAGTATCTTAGCACGTGGAAATGTATAGCACCCCAAATAATTTAAATGCATGATTTTTATTCTAAATGAAGAAAAAAACCTGGAGTACCCGGAGAAAAATCGACACGACTGAGACAGAGACATACAAACTACATATCTACAGGCGTCAGGGTCAGGATTGAACCCACGACTTCCTGTAGTTAACATCTCGCCACAGAGACGCCCACTTCAGGCATTACCTGAAAACAAAATCCATGTCCGCAGCAACGACGAGAAAGGCACTGCCCATTGAAAGATATGCTTCTAGCATTATTTTGCATTTGTTGCAAAAAGCTATTTTTGTTGTTACACGCATCGCCACACACCGTACAACAATCATGCACGGAGCACGGTCCGACCCCAGGGCCAAAACATGTGCAAGAGACGCAAATCGCTTGCTGGGGCCCGGCGAGCGCTTTACCTGCTGCACGTAGAAGTCGCTGGGACTGTTGATGTGGCTCAGCATGAGGCAGATCCACCTGAGGGGCTGGAGATTGCTGGGTGGAATGAAGGCTGGATTACGACCGGGCCTGTGGTCTGGCACGCAGAGTGGCGCGGATTCACACTGGAACCTGCTCACAACAATAACAAATAATTAATAAATAAAATGGGAAATAAATTAAATCGCTAATTAAATAAATTAAATAAACAAATGAGAACAACTCGATTAAATCACGACGTTTCGGAAGCAACACAAGCCTGTCTTCAAGGTGGAACCGCCACAGCGAAATTACTGTAGTGAATAAAGAGAGCTATTTAGAGAACCGTGATTATATAGGATAAGGGGGGGGGGGGGGGGGGAGCCAAGGAGTGGGGGGAGGGATTAGCCGATTAATAGTTCAGATAAGGGTAAGTGTAAGAGAAGAGAAGTGAAGTAGCCAGGGTGGGAGGTTATCTGATTCATAGTTAAGATAAGGGTAAGTATAAGAGAAGTGAAGTAGCCAGGGCATGGGGGGGGGGGGGGATTAGCTGATTAATAGGTCAGATAAGGGTAAGTGTAAGAGAAGTGAAGTAGCCAGGGCATACTGTAATAAAAGACTGTCACACACTGCTGGTCTCCGTTGCTCTTTTATTTAGCTTCTTGCTCGCACTCCGCTGGTCCTGACAGCGGACCAGCGTCTCCTCACGCGCGCCCCACACGCGCTTCCTCGGCAGTCCTTCCGCTCCCCCACTCGGCACACCGCTGGCCGACGGTGTGCCGAAGCTCCTCCAGCCACGTGGCTGATGGCGCGGATCCCCTCCGGCCACCCAACGTGGTCCAGCTTCTTCATTCCAACAACTGACCCGGAGCCCTTCCAGGCTCCCACCTATAACCCCTTTACCACGTGATCCTGTCTCCTCCCCTTCCGGACCGTCAGATCCGGCCTTCCCATAGCGCCCTGCTGGCTCCACCCCCATTCACCTCGCTTCCGATTGGACCCGAGGTGAACGGCGGGCCCTCCCACACGTCCCCCATACTGGGCTCTGCCCCTCAATACCCCGGGCCGTATGATTGGGCCAGAGCCCAGCAGCGAACCCGGTTTACACTCGCATTACAATACTATGGGAGGGAGGGGGGAATATTGGGGCACTATTGAAACACTGTACGTAATTTTTTTTAAGTGATGGTAGTGTATAAAGCTGGGAGTAAAAGACTGGAAATATGGATAATACATGTAAACTATAAAGCAGCTAAAGTTTAACTTGGTTAATGACATCCTTCCAATGATTGCTCAATTTGAAACCATCCTCTCGGTTGAAGTTATGTCTATGTTTGTATATCTGGATGGCTTCATGGACAAATCTTTGGTAGTATCCAGAAGGCTTGCAGAGTACTTTGGTATCGGAGAAGACAATATCATGAGAACCCGCCGTGTTGTAACAATGATCAGCTACGGCAGAAGAATTGGTCCTACCGTGTTTAAAATCTGACTTGTGTTCGCGAATGCGGTCAGATACATGTCGTTTCGTTTCCCCGATATAACAGTCACCACAAATGCAACTCAGTTTGTAGACACCAGGGTGCTGTAAGTCAGGAATGACATTCTTTACGGATGGGATCAAATCACGGATGTTGTGTACTGTAGTGAATCGGACCTGGATCTTGTGTTTGTTTAGAATTTAGGAAATATTTTTGGTAACGCCTGCTATGTATGGCAACATGATGGTTTTGATCGGAGTCTCCGGTTGTTTCTCTACAGTAGGAGAAACAGCTTTGCGGATAGTGCTGCCTGAATATCCATTCATCTTAAGGGCTAGGTGTACATGTTCCAATTCACTGGCCAGGTGGTGTTGGTCAGAGATGCAGTGGGCCCTTATGGGGCAGTGTTTTGATGAGGGAATTATTTTGTGCCACCATCCGGCACAACGTGACTTTACCGAAAAAACCAAAGAGAATGGATCCTTGCAGTCACGAAAACTTGAAATCCAGAAATAACAAAACTCACATTCAATCTTCTTTAACACGTAGTAGGCATTCGCGACAAATATTATGGATGAGGTTTTTTGGTTTTGGATGAGATGGCATAAATTTGACTATGTCGTTAAACCCGCCACCACGACACGACACTCAGCCACAATTAGTAAGGTTTGTCACGCAAATAAAACGCACCAATTAGTTACTAGTTCAGCACTAACCGGTTGTGTGTTGAAGAGTAAACCCACAACATTTACAATTCGGGTACCGTGATGTTTCGCCGGTAATTACAACAACCAGCCTCATCAGGCGACAGCCAAAGTTGTGGAAAAATCTTCCTCCTGCTAATCAGGTGCAAAGACCGGGGGGGGGGGGGGGGGGGTGTCCGTTCAAAATGTTTAGCGTACTTCCCGACATGCAACAAACTTGAAATTTGCCATGTGGGTACTTTCCAGACTGTACACCCTGCAAAAATGATAAAAATACACTTGTTTATTTTTTTTGGGGGGAGCTTAAAAATGTATATCTTTTTTGCACGGCAAGTGAGCTGTGACGTCATATCTGTCATGTGACCCACGCATGTGGAAGCGTAACGCATTGTAGTGTAGTCGTTAGCGCGCCGAACTACGAACCCGGCGACCCGAGTTCGATTCCCGCTCACGGACACCACCGGTGATGACTATTTTAACCGCTCCTGGGCCTCCCTGAGGTCGACTCAGCCTCAAAACGAGTAACTGCTGTGGTGTGTGAACATCGCCACTGGGGAAACAAAGGCGGCCGGGCGTGGTGCTGTCACCCACCCCCTCGTGTACCGTGCCGGCCTTCATAGGTGCTCGCTAACAGCACTTGCCCCTACAGTCTGTTAAGGCTATATGGGGGATCTTTATCTTCGTGTGAATTAGTCGATATGTGTCTTTGTAAGTCCATATGTGTGTTTGTGTAGGTCAATGTGTGTGTGAGTGTATGTACCATCGGACACTCCACGCGACGCTCACAACAACAGCTGGGTGGCTAAAGCACAGCAAGTTGGCACAGGTGCTGCATCAGCCAGTCGTCTCAGTCAGTCGACCTGTGGCATCTGGCTCTGCCCCGTGACCTCCTGCCAGCGGGCGTTCGACACTTCACGTGGCCTCAAGGTGGACATAGCCTGCCACAAGCGTTGTGGTTACGTCACCGCCACTTAGTGGCGAATGGCGGTTGTTGTTGAGTCTATGTATGTATGTGCGAGTCGATATGTGTGTAAGTCTGTGTGTGTCCATTTGTGTATAACTACTTATGTGTGTGTCTAAAGTCGATGTCTGTGTGAGTCCATATGTGTGTGTGTGCGTGTGTGTGTCCGGCAAAGCAACCCCCTACCTCCTCACGGTGCCGGACGGACAACACTGTAATGGGCAGTGCCGTGGGGGGAGGGCCAATTCCGATTGGCCTCTCCCCTCATGGCGTCTCTGACCACCACAGTGGCTAAATGGTGGCTCTGGACTGGTTCGAGGGGCTGGTAACCCCTCTACCTTCAATAAATTACCACTAAACCACGAATTAAATATTCAACTATTAAGCTTGTGCCGGAGGTCCCGGGGGGACAAGTGTCTATGACGTCTCCTGGCCAAAACCCATCTGGCGGAGCCAGGAGATTTAATCTTTAGCCTCGGGGCTCCTCCGGAAACAACAAAAAGCCACTTCGAATGGCCACGTGGAATGTTCGAACGCTCTATCGGTACTGCCTGGATCTCTGTGGCATTCAGGAGGTCCGGTGGACCGGCTCTGGCTCTTGCCAGCATGAGGGATGGACAGTCCTCTACTCGGGCCAGGAGACTGCCAAACAACAGAGCGTGGCTTTTCTTCTGAACAAAATAATGAAGGGGGCGTGGGAGTGTGGTGGTGAGGTGTGGGAAGCTGTAAGCCCCAGGCTACTTTGAGCTCGCCTTCCCATCAACCGGAGGTGAGGAGTGGTGGTCGTGATTACTTATGCCCCCACCGAAGATGAACATCCGTGGAGGGATGCAGGCAAGGCCGATGAGTCAGATGCCTACTATGACCTCCTGTCACAGGTGCTGGCTAAAGTGGCCCCTCAGGATAGAGTCATCCTGTTGGGTGATTTCAATGCCCTAGTTGGTCATGATGCTGGCACCTGGTCTGGAGTGATTGGAAGGCATGGGCCAGATCAGCTCAATAACAACGGTAGGAGGCTGCTAGATTTTTGTGCAGCCCATGGGCTTGTAATTACCAACATCATGGATACATGCCGGGTCCAAGCAAGAACATCTGAAGGACTCCGTAGTGACAGACCAACGGATGCGAGTCCATGTCCTTGACACCAGGACCTACCGTGGAGCTGATCTGCCCTCTGACCATCGACTTGTCATCTGTAAGATGTGCCTGCCATTCTTCCACTCCGGTGGTGGGTGTACACCAGACATGGGCAAAGTACGGCCCGTGGGCCGTATATGGCCCATTGGGCTTTTTAATCCAGCCCGCCGAACTTGTCCAAATATTATTATTAAATTAAATTTTACTTTTCTCCTGTAATGCCCCCATTTCCCCATTAGATGGCGTACTTTGTGTAATTCAACAAAACAAACAAAACATAACTCCGAGTTCTCTCCGAATTTCACGAGTCCGTTCTAGACCCCACAGTTTTTTAAAGAGTTTTAAGCACAGAATACATAATTAAAGTTTGAAAAATCATTAATTATACAAACTTTTCAATAATTTACTTCTTCACTTCGATTAAAATTTTCTTCAAAACCTTCTTTTCACCAACATTACCGCTCATTACCACTTTCTCCGAAGGCATGTTTGTAAAATAATGCATGGTACAGACAGCAGACATCTCGTGTCCAGAGATCAAAAGCAAATTTGAAAAAGTCAGTTTATCACGCAGGACTGTGACTCGCCGTGTGGAACTGATTGATAAAAATATAGCCAATTAAACAAAAAGTCTGATTCCTTTGAATTATATTCACTAGCACTGGATGAAAGTACGGACGTAAAATACACTGCTCAGCTCCTCATTTTTATCTGAGGCACTGACGACAGTTTTGCGAAAACAGAGGAGTGTTTGACCATGGAGTCCCTGAAACGAACAATGCGGGGAAAGGACTTGTATAACCAGGTATCTGCT